TTTATTGCCAAATGATCTTCATTTGATGTCTTCTCTAATCTCGAATGACTTTTTTTATTAATCTAGCATAGCTTAGGTTAATATATAATAGTTGCAAATTTTGCAATTACAAACTGGTTGTGCTGAAAGTATTTCTGAGGATTGGGGTATTCCATTGCAGTAGAAAAATGTTTGGAAATGCAGAGTTTTTGTCATACTCTGGTTCGAGTTCGGATTTATTTGTTCAATTATCCAACATATCCAAGAGCTATAGATTGTTTTTCCGATATAAATCCTCTAGTCTGGACGAAATTCCCCGTCCACATTAATCTTTAATCGTGCCAACTGTCGGTGGTTTATCGTCGTCACTGAACCACTTTGAGTCGGGGCGATGACATTGCGTTGTATAGGAGTATAAGAGAGAATTGATCCTTCTTGTTGTAAGATCGACACTATTCACAAGCACAATCTCTCCCAAGTTTTTAAACCGCCACTCTTCTCTATCATTTTATGTACTGATTTCTGTTTAAATCAGAATGGACCATAATCTCTCATTTAGACCATCAACACAACTTTTCATTGATAATAATCCACAATATGTCATCATTGAGCTATGATTACATCAATTTGTAAATGAGTCGTCGAGTTATGATCACACACCAATTTATCAACGACCCATTGTTGTTTTATACATTTTTATATTAATATTGATGTTTATTTTCGTTAAAATAATATTTATTTGTATCTATTATTTGTTTGAGTTGTTTAATTAGATTTTTTAATAATTTATTTTTTTAATAGTCTAACGTGATTATAAGATAGCACATGTTCTGAATTTTATTAATCAATTGAGACACATATTCTATATTATATAGACATAGTTACTTAAGACCTTAAAAAACACTTTCATCATTAAATTCTCTCTTAGATGACTAATATATAAACATTGGTGATTTTAATTTATTTTCTTATTTAATAAAAGAAACCATTATTAGATGTTCAAAGAAATAGGAATTTTAAATTTTATAATAATTATAAATAATGTAACCTTTTATTATGTATATATTACCTCAATGGTTAAAGGAATTGTTGTTGTTTCTAGAGGTCACGAGTTTGAGCATCAACGGCTATAGCAGGTGATTGAGCGTTCACTGTCACATTATTGAGAGTATTTTAGAACATATATTACTTTGTAACCACTTTAATTTAATAAAAACTGAAATATTGAATTAAAAGTAATATTTTAAAATTTTAAAGATCTCTTAATTTTTATGCTAATTATAATGACGTATTTTCCAACAATAATTTACAAACCAAATTAGCACATATTTTTAAGGATTATATTTATTTTCTATGCTAATTATAAATGATATATTTTTAAAAATTAAATTACATACCAAATTAGCACTTATTTTTTAATTTCCTCCCAAAACCCCAATTGTGATTTTATTATTAAATAAAAGCTAAAATCAAAATAATTTATCAACCGTCAGATCAAAATCCAACGGTGCAGAAACCATGAACTAGTCGAGGAATAAGGCTAGGAAGAACACCGCCACAGTAGCTTAGCTGGGGCGTATCCGGGTTGATGATGTCAGTGCGACTAAAATTCTGATAAATACTTCTAAAATCTTAAAAAAGTCTTTTTCGAGGATATCTAAGATGTGTCAGTCTTAATATACGCTTAACGTTACTAGAAATGTTGATTTTTTTTTATGTTTTGAGTATTATGTTTTTCTGTTTCAAATGGCTTTAGTCAGAACTCTATACCTAGGAAAAATCCAAAGTCTTGTAGGACAAAATAAAGTCAACATTTTGTGTTACAAATAGCTTTGTCAGGAATTCTCTTCTTGTACCATTTGTTGATTTAGTGTTGATCCTTATATGGCAGTTACATCGGTTTCATAACAGGTTCCGTGGACAGCTGAAAGATGCTCGACTTCTTAATACAGAATAAGAGAGATTATCGGTGGCATGGGAACACTCATACGTGTTTCCACTTCGACATAATAAGTAAAGCGATCCGACTGATCGACAGTTGTCGGGTTAGATTTCAAGTCTGATTCCTTTCCACACTGCATTCCATCTATTACCTGGAAAAAATAATTTCCCCCCTTTCTTTTTCGTGTTTCGTAAAGCTGAGATAGAGAAATAGATATATCTCGTATTCTACCATTGTTCTTGCAAGCATGGAATGTTTGCAGTAATACCGTCAGTTCTTGTTATTAGGTCTGCGAGTCATGTCTGTAAGACATGAGATTAAATTATGAGCTTTGTGAAATGCTGAAGACATGGTTTTAAAGGTGAAAGGTCAACTTTACGAGTAGTGTCACTGATGTTTATCTTGCTCAACTTTTGGTCTCGTAGGACTGTTCCATAGCTACCGAAGAAAATATGTGATCGGTTCTGGAATTCCGTCATCCTGTTCGGTAGCGTTGAGGAATTCAGGTCAGGCTGTACAATTTCCTTTTCAGTATTTGCTCTAATGTTCTACAGATTGTAACTCGAGCCTTAGGTGGTGTTTGTTTTTATAGAGGTAAAATGTTTACAGTTTGCGGACCATCTGCAGCAAAAGAGATGGACCAAAAGTCTGCAGTCTGCAAGAAGTAAGACTGTTTGTTTTTTAACGTCTACATACTGCTAAAATAAACTGAAATATAAATAAACTGATTTTTTAAACTATACTCAAATAACCATTTTTGCTATTAATTTTTTAAAAATTATAAAATGTCATTAAATTTAATGAACTATTACAAAATAGTCACTATAATGTTGTAATAAATTATAAAAGTTCGATAATATAATAATTATTTTATAGTATTTAGATAAATTTATTAATAATTTTATAATCTTTTAATAAATTTAATAAGTATTTTATATTTTTTAAACTTTATTGAAGAAAATGATTATTTGTATATAACTCAACGATATCTAATATACTTTATTTGAAAAAATATATTAAATAAATATTATACGAATTTTATTATTATAAATTATTACATCTACGGACTATTAGATTTTGGTTTTAATATTATATATCATTTTAAAAATTATTATTAAATCAATCGATAATGAAATCAATTTGATTTTAATTCAATCTGTTTGTTTCAGTTTAAGTAATTGTTAAAAAATTATATTTTAATTCTCAATTATTATCGATTCAAAAATATATCAATACTCGATTTTATAATATCATTTAAATCATCTTAATTTATTCGAGCGGTACAATCCGACTCTAGTAACATAAAAAAATATATAATATATATTCCATATATTATACATCAATTAGTATTTTTCTATTTAGAAAAAATATATTATTTGTTATTTATTTATTTATTCTGTATAAAAGGACTTTCGTACTTTACCAGTATTAAATGATAAGAATCAGATTTTTCAATAGTGTGAATATTTTTTTTATTAAAACATTTATTTTGTCTTTTAATGCTAATAATTATATGTCCCCATGATTTTCTAAGTTTTTATATATAAAAAAAGTTTACTAAGTTTAATATATTTTTTCAAATAAAGTATATTAGATATCGTTGAGTTATATACAAATGATGATTTTCGTCAGTAAAGTTTAAAAAATTATAAAATACTGATTAAATTTATTAAAAGATTATAAAATTATTAATAAATTTATCTAAATACTATAAAATAATTATTATATTATCGAACTTTTATAATTTATTACAACATTATAGTGACTATTTTGTAATAATTCATTAAATTTAATAACATTTTATAATTTTTAAAAAATTAATAGCAAAAATGGTTCTTTGAAGAGGTTAGAAGAGTTTTGAAGACATAAGTCCACGTTTGCGCCAAGAAGAGGACGCGCAGACGTTAGAAGAACTTCTGTCTTATAAAAAACAAACTGTTTGCGAAGCCCAATGTCTGCGCGTGGTCTGCGCGGCGCAGACATAAGAGCTTTGAATATCTTAAACAGTGAAAACAAACACTACCTTACTAAATTTGTGCAGATTGTTACTGTCTTTCCTTCAAAAGAGAATTTTGTACGACACGGTCGAACAACAATGAAGTGAATGCTGCTGGCTCCATTCAATTATATATAGGAATAATATCCAATTGTATTATGTAAAACTCTTTTAGTTTTATATCTTTTTAATATCATTGGATGAGAGAAATTAAATGTTGAGATTAACAATAGAAAATGAGAATATATTCACTGAAAAAAGAGTTAATATCAGCATTTGATTTCCCTCATTCTAATGATCCTAAAAAGGTGATTTCACTCAATCCAACGATCTTAAAAAGGTATAAAGTTAAAAGAGTTCAGTGTAAGGGATCCTATCATATATTATCAAACCGTGTTAAATCTGTCTGTGAAAAACAGGTTATGGCAACTTTTTAAGCTTAGTTTTACGTAGTTCGTTGTTGTGTATTTGTTGTTTTGCATGGGAGAACGGGGTCTTGAAAGGCTGTGCCAAACTAAGCGTTACACAGTGCACAAAGTATTGGGTAAATTGCACCAAATATCATTTTTGAACTCTCTGATTTGTTTTTATCACAGTTTTAACTTATTTCAATTTTAGCGCTGAACTTTTTAAACCATTAATCAATTGAAAGATGGGTGATATTACATTCTAGTATTGGTATGCGTTGACGTGAAGTTTTTCATAACAATTGACGGTTCAATAATAAAATTGATACATAAAAGTCCAATAATGACATTTGGTATAGTGCATTCAAAATCATGTGTTACAGTTACCAGTTGGGCTAGATCATGGCCGTTTAGCAAAAGATCGTCTAACCCTGACCAGATAGGCCCAAAAAAATAATTGAAAAATGTTGGAAAGCATCTAGAAAATTTGCTAATAAACACTAATTAGGGCAGGGGCGAAAGGACATCATTTTTCTCGGAATGAAATTAGGAGGCTCAAAAGTACAATTAAAAGTACAAATTTTCTTTTGGATTTGATATAAATGACTTATCATTGGAATTCTAGCTAATATACAAAATCATAGAATTCCAATGGAGAAAAAGAAAAGAAATTTTCACAAAGCAGGAGTTATTTACCCACTAAAATAAGGTAAATGTGTAATATGAGCACTGCTTCTACTTTTTTAACCCCCAGGGAGTACTGAAATCTCTACTGTGCCCCTCTTCTAAGCATTTCCTGGTACCGATTCAGAGACTCCTGCCTTTGCAACCTCATTTCCTCGTTAAACTTCTTGATGAATTCTTCCACTCGGCGGTTCAGCTCGTCCTGACTCAACGAGGGGTCTCTCTTGAGTTTGCCCGATCCAGAAGACCGAGCGAGTGACGGCTCCCTGGTGCGTTCGTTGAAGGTATCGGATTTCTTCATGGTGTTTGGGAGAGGAGGGGGAGGGGGAGGTGTATTAGGGTCCTTTTGAGCACGTTGTTCCCACGTGTCGGATTTATTCAGGTGACGTGTTAACGGCATCGGACGGCCCTCCGTTATCGTCTTCCACGTCGATTCCAATGTATCGTGCCGTTTTGGCTTCGACACCCTCAACGCTTTCCCTGCAAAAATTTTGAATCATCCATCATCAAATTTACTGTTCTGTCCTCACAGTTCAATCTTGTGAATGAAATTTTGCACTTTTTTTTTCTAATTTCTTTTGCATTAAGCTTTTGAAAAAGCATTTATACGTTGCTTGATAATTTTGGCTTTTCACGAATGCGCTTTATAGTTTGATTTTGAAATCTCATGCTACAGAGGTTGAGAGATTTAAGGTTTCTAGTGGTTTACCTTCTGCCGCCGCTTTCACAGCTTTCCGCTGAGCGAATCTCTTCGACACCGGCGGCTTCTCCGCCGATTTCTCCCCCAACAAACTCATAATCTCCATAGACTCACTCCTCATTGGCGCTACCTCCGTCATCACTTTAACCTGCTCCTCCTCCACCGCTCGCTTACTCTCCTCCGCCGCAAGGACTCTTGCTGGAGCGGTTCCATAACTGAACTCGTTACTAAATACTTCACTCGAGACCTTGAACGCCGGTGAAACTATCTCCGGAGGATTGATCAGTTGAGGAGACTCTGGCTTCTGAGCCTGGAGCTTGGAAGAAGCGACGATGGAGATGATGATGCAGTTGATGAGAAGGTAAAGGTACGGAGGCCGAAGAAAAGAAAGTATTAAACCGTAAGTTGAAGGAATACCGGACGTTACGAATTCAGTCACAAACGGAGCTGAAACTTTAAACAAAACGGCCATGGATATGACTCCGGTTGATATCAGTGCTGTTTTGAGAGAGAACGTTAGATTTGCCATTAGCTTAAAAAAGAAAACTGAATTTTTTTCTCTCGAGAAAATGAGTTGAGAAAATAGTAATCCTGAAGGAAGTGGAGGAGATTGTTTTTGGAAGGTGGTGGAAGACATTTATATACGAGAAGCGGAACCGCGGAAGGTTTCGTGATGAAATATTGACCGTCTAATTGGAGTTGATGTGGGGTCACCCGTTACGGTTTTGAGAGACGACGCGTTGGCAGGCGGTGACATGGTCTTTTATTTCCACGTGGTACTGTGCACATTTGGCGTACAGTCCACGTATTTTTCGACTCTTTGATGATATTTATTAAATTTCCCTTTTCTATTTATGCATTTTGCCGTTTTCTAAAATCAATTTTATCTTAATAAATAAACTCAAGTTAATATATCAATTCAACTTGCAATGTAAAATTAAATTAGGTAAAGTAAACAAATAGTAAGGTGTTCTCTCGTGGACTCATTCAATCATTCAAAGTTATAAAATAATATTTCAATTATAAGATATTGATTTGTTAAGTCTCTCGAATATCAAAAAGTTATAAAATGGTCATCTGACTATGATTATGATCTAAACTCGTCATTTTCTGTTAAAAAATTGATGATAGTCCAAGTTAGATGTTAACCTACTGACTGAGATATGATAAAATATGATATTAGAATCTCAAATGACTATCATATCCCAATCAGCCTGTTAACGTCTAACTCAGACGATCGTCAATTTTTTAACGAAAAATGATGAATCTAAAACATTTGAATAATTAAGTGATTATTTTGTAACTTTTAAGAATCGATAAACTCAACAAATCGATGCCTTACGATCATACTTTTGATAGTTGGATGATTTAACAAAGCAATACCCTATAACCAGAAATCATTTGTGTATTTTACTCAAATAAATTTACGAATATCAACTAGAAATAGATTGATTGAATCTAATAAGAAAAATCCAATTTTTTTATAAGCCACAAGTTTTTTTTATTGTGCCAATGATGACATTTATCCTGAGGTTGGTTATCCACTGTCGATGTTCAATTTTTTTATTTCTTACTTTTTTTATGTTTTACGTATGTTTGTCTAATTTTGTAGCACGTTTTAACTCACTCTTGCGTCACGTTTCTTTTGTCTTATTTCATGTTTTTCACCTATCTTTGTGGTATATTTGCAATTGTGTAGATATTCTCATATTGCTCGTATTAGATTTATGATTATCAGTGGTTTTTCAGTGATTAGATTTCTTTTTGTGGTTGTTTTTCGATGTATACAGATTTATTTTGCAAATCAGCTTATAAGTTTGTTTTGATTTGCTCGTCACTCCATTCTCTCTAAAGCGTCTAGCTGGATAGAGACAAAAGAATAATATTGACGATTTTGGGTTACTATGGATGATAAACAGTCTTTGAGTTTTCTTTTTTCTTTTATTTTATATTTGAGGTTTTTTTTATGAACGTAGTCCCTAAAATTCTCTCTTTGATTGATTGTATTGTTAAGGTTGTATCTTTCTTGTTTCAATAACGATTAATATCATTTCAAGCATAAACAAACTTGTAGTGCGATAATAAAAAACTATTATTAAAATAAAGCCAATTGCATGCAGAAAGTATCCATTTGGAGATTCACCCCTAAAGTTAGGTGTGCGACGCATGTCAGTCCATATTAGTTAAGGCGAAGCCTTGGAAATCAAAAATGCAACAAAAAAATAAAGTTTTAGCATATATATTATTTTAATATAATTTAATGATAATTTATATATTTTATTAAATAAAAGGGTAAACTACACCCAATGGTCATTAATGTTTGAGTAAATTTTCGTTTTCCCCATTGAAGTTTCAGAAGTAACAAATTGGTCACTAACATTATTGATTTGTAACAAAATGGTCACTCCGCCATTATCTCCATTAAATTGATGACATGATAACATTAATAAAAATGTTATTCAGTTTTACCCTTAAACTACAACTAAAACATCAAATAGTTCATTGAACAATGATTTTATATCAAATTTATTCCCAAAATTTTCTAATTTGAAAAAAAAGATGTTCAAAGGATTGCCAATTGGGGATTAGCTAATATGTAAACTTCGAGAAAGGATACAACAACGATGTTAATGTGAACGTTAACATTATTGATAAATTACCAGACAACGAGGGGTTAGCTTTTACTTGAATCTTTGAATTTGATCCGCTAATAGAAATGATCAGGAGAGGTATTTATAATTTTTCCTAATGTTCGTGTACCAATAGGTTCGATTGCTCCATGCACGAGTTATGATTTAATAGGCGGTAATGAACCAAAGAGTAATAGAAAATATACAAATGTTCTCTTTAAGTAGTATGAAGGTTATTGTAATCAAGAAAATGAAGGTGCCACCATCTATAAAAGTTAAAGGATAACATGAGTTACGTGTTGAAGTTGATATCTTGAGCAGACTTGACTATCCGAACTAGGGAGCAAATGACTGAAATCTTATAGCAAAAGCTACTGCTAATGGAACACCTTAGACTCGATTGGGCCTAAATTGCCACATTGGGCTACCGAGGCAACACCTAAATTTTTAAATAAGCTCGTTATCATTTAAAACATATAAATGGCATCATACAAAATATAAAACAACTATTAAACCATTTTACAAACCAGAACTCCATGACACATAATTTAAAAGCAAAATAATACATCTTGATGTTTTTGTCTCAAATGCATAAGTAAGTTTCTATGAATACACATGACCACTAAGAATTAGTATGGTACTCTGAAGGAGATGCTAGAATTCCTGTTGCGACAGTGCTCCATGAACTGCTCAAGCTACCAACCTACTAACAGAAATCATCTGAAGGCTGAGATTACAAACCCATTAGTATAATAGCTAATCTAGAGCAACATTAAAAGTTCCATAAGCATAAGCGTACTAAGGATTAGGTATTATGCAGTAGACACACACATGATCTTGATAAATCGATACCTACTTAAAGCTTAACTATTTTGCCACTAAAATAGGCGGTCTCACACTTTCCTTAGTCCCCGGAAAGGCCTCGCCATGAGCATGCCTCTATCAGGTCTCTACTCAGACCAACTGCCACGTAGTTTAATAGCTAATCTAGAGCAACATTAAAAGTTCCATAAACATAAGCGTACTAAGGATTAGGTATTATGCAGTAGGCACACACATGATCTTGATAAAGCGGTACCTACTTAAAGCTTAACTGATTTGCCACTAAAATAGGGGTCTCACGCTTTCCTTAGTCCCCGAAAAGGCCTCTCCATGAGCATGCCTCTATCAGGTCTCTACACAGACCAACTGCCACTCTAACTCGACTGTGTACTATTTATATGTCATGCTGACTAGTATCTGGTCTCACAAAGCCATTAGACACTAGCGACTGTGGTTATCACGTCCGACTAACCCACCCCTCACGAGTGTTATGCCTTGTACACAAATTAGCATTTGAAGTGCCTCACGCACTTACTGTGGTGTATTTGGGTAAGGACATCATACCTACAAACCTGTCCCTCACTAGTGTAGGGCCTTGCGCTCATAGTTAGCCGCGAAAGTGCCTCGTGCACTAATAATTCCCTACCAGGGCCACTAAGGTAACCTGGGTATACCCTATCACGACTGGACTCACTAAGGTAAGGCCATCTTCTCACTGGTTGCTATCATACTCATTCTCTAACTAGAATGTTTCACGAAGCCTTATTAGTCTGCTACTGATGTTATTTACTACGCTGCTCCACTTTGGTTGCTCGTTACTAAAAGGGTAATTTACTAATTCCCTACCTCTAGCGAAGTCTTTACGCGATCTTGGGGTTTTACGATGATTTTTGCAGTTATTGTTCACTGATTGAACTATCCGTTAGCTTGATATTTGACTTGGGTTCAACCCTGGGTAACAACACTCTGAGCGCTCTTGTTGATCTTTCTTTCAATACCCCTCGGATTGAAAGGATGACTTACACCTCCTAGGTTCAATGACATTCCCGAAGCCCATGTTCTTTGCTATTTTTGAATTTGGCTTACTCGTTGTATCGCTGGTCGATACACCCCTTATAATGATCCTCGTTATCTACTATTTATATATGTGCTCGACTAAAGATACCTCAGTGTATACCGCTTAGAATGGTTGCCCCTGTTGTAACCCGCTTACATAAGTGTTTCTAGGCATATTTGGGCACTTCGATCCCTCATAGACTAATTTTTACTAATACGGATCATCTTTAGCTCTTACGGGCCTTCGTCGGGTCAAAACTGACCATCCAAAGTGAGTAGTATCGATACTCTACTTGTAGTATCGATACCTGAGGGTCAAGTATCGATACCTGAGGGTCAAGTATCGATACCTGAGGGTCAAGTATCGATACTAAAAATGCATTATGTTTATGAAATTGAGTCCTAGTATGCAGTATCGATACTCCCACTGGAAGTATCGATACTCCTAGCTTGAAATCCCTAATTTTAGCCCCAATTCATCCTAGTATCGATACTGGACACGAAAATGATTATTTAGTCTCGAGAAATCACCCAAAAATCTTCCTAAAGGCCATAGTTTAGTTTGTAATCAAGTTCTAAAGCTTTAAGGAGTTAACTAGGGTTTTAAAGTGGCATAAATACATCTTTTAAACCTCTAAAACGTGATTTGATCATAATATCAAATATAAACCCTAAAATACTTAAATACTCAAATCATAACAAAACTTCATACTTATGGAAATCTTAACACTTCAAAGGATTATAAATACACTATCTTAGTACTTCAAAGGATTATAAATACACTATCTTAGTTTTAAAAACCCGAAGTGAAGCCCTTTGCTTAGTCAAACTCCTTTCCTTGTTGATTTTGGTTGAAAACTCACACTTTTCCCTCCAACTAACAAAACCCATGGCTTGAAACATTAAAACAACATTGCTAGAGGAATTATGAACGAAAATGGAGAATGAAAAGGCTTAAACTTTTACCTTCGCTAAATCCTTGGAGTGGAGAGGAAGAAGAAGGAAAATGGAAGAAATGAGGAGAAAAAAATTTGAAAGAATATATAAAGGCTTTAAAATTGAAAAATGAATAATTG